ACTTGGGAGGCTGAGGCAGGAGACTCGCTTGAGCCCAGGAGTGGGAGGTTGCTGTGAGCAGTGAAGCCATGGCACTCTACCCAGGGGCTCAGCTTGAGGCTCTGTCTCAAAAAAAAAAAAAGAATGCACCAAGCTAGACCTTCTCCTTAAGGTAATAGGAAGATCAAAAGGTCTGAAGAGCTGTTCCTGGGTTTGGTGTTACAGAGTCCTGGGTGTATCTCAAATCTCCCCCTGGGCCATCCTGGAGATGGGAGACTGCAGGGACAGACAGGGGTTGTGTCCTCTGCTCACAACCTCACAACTGGGATGTTGAGCATAGCTGGCAGTGAGAGTGGGAACAGGTTCAGGGAGCCAGATCTCAGGAGGCAGGGAGGACAAAGTGGACATGGACCACTTTATCCAGCTGAACAAGAGCAGGGGACCACGGACAGTGGGCAGAGGAGGCTAGGGAAACTGTGAATTTAGAGTCTGGGTTTTAGGCTGAGTGTGGTGGCTCACACCTATAATCCTAGCACTCTGGGAGGCCTAGGCAGATAGATAGAATTTGGGACCAGAGCATCCTGTCTCTAAAAAAAATAGCCAGGAGTTGTGGCAGGCACATGTAGTCCCAGCTACTCGGGAGGCTGAGGCAAGAGAATCACTTGAGCCCAGGAGTTTGAGGTTGCTGCTAACTATGACACTATGTCACTCAACTCCAGGGCAACTGGAGTGAGATTTTGTCTCAAAAAAAAAAAGTCTGAGGGCGATGCCTGTGGCTCAAAGGAGTAGGGCCCTGGCCCCATATGCCGGAGGTGGCGGTTCAAGCCCAGCCCTGGCCAAAAATTGCAAAAAGAAAAGTCTGAGTTTTAGGACCCCCCAGCCTGCACTCCCCAGCCGGAGGGAGACATAAATTCTGATTGGCAATGCATAAGAAAAGAAGATATTCTACATATCAATTCTATATTATATATAATCGAATTATATTTATAAATAATATATAACATAATCATATGATATTAATATATCATAACATGTATAATTATGATTACTATATAATTAAAATAATTTATAACATATTGATATAGTATAATTATATTACACATTTATGTATATTATAATATATATCCATTGTATATATAATTTCTATTATGAAAAAATTCCAAGCACACTTGTAAGAATGAGGATAACACCACCAACCACCACCTACCATTTCCCTAATTCAGTAGTTATCACTTTTTGTTTGCTCTGATGCCCTTTTGTCTATTTCTATTTCTTTCTTTGCAGTAGTATCTTAAAGCAAATCTCAGCCATTAAGCTGATTCACTCCTATTGACCTAAAATAAGGGGGACACTTTCCTACCTATTCATAAAACCATGCCAGTCTATAATCAATTCCTTGATTTTCTTAAGACCTTTTCTTTTCACAACAAGTTTCTTTTTCTTTTCTTTCTTTCTTTTTTTTTTTTTTTTTTTGAGACAGAGCCTCAAGCTATCCCCCTGGGTAGAGTGTTGTGGCATCACAGCTCACAACAACCTCCAACTCCTGGGCTTAAGCACCTCTCCTGCCTCCACCTCCCAAGTAGCTGAGATCACAGGCACCCACTACCTATTTTTTGGTTGCAGCCGTCATTGTTGTTTGGTGGGCCTGGGCTGGATTTGAACCCGCCACCTTAGGTGTATGTGGCTGGCACCTTAGCCACTTGAGCCACAGGTGCTAAGCCCACAGCAGGTTTCTTTAAATCAGAGTCCAAACATGAAAGTCATCAAAGTCTCTACTGCTTTTGATTGTTGAGTTGCAAACTTTTCTTCAAAGTATCTGTCCTGTGGTTTTAAAATCTGATCAAACAATTTCTACTTACACAAATCTAACTAAAGAAGAAAAAGCTTACAGCTTTTCTCTCTTCACTTCAAGAGAATGTACTCATTTTTTTTTTCTCTTAAAGTTACTATTCACAAAGACAGTCTCTGGGTTATATGTGCAAAATTGGTGACATACATTATCTCCTAAAACAAGAACATAACCCAGCATTAGTGTCTCAAGGCAAAGGGTTATATAATCATAAGTCATTGTAATTCTGATATCTGCTTGCAAACAACTTCCTGGATTTCAGATCGACCAGATATAGAATGAGAATATTAAAGAATATCATTTTATTTAAAACTAAGCTGGTTATACTGGCTTACACTTGTAGTCCTAGTGACTGTGGAGGTCAAGGTGGGAGGATCACTTGAGGACAGGAGTTCAAGACCAGTCTGGGCAACTGAATAAGACCCCATCGCTAAACAAAATTTAAAATATATATATATATATATATATAAAATTTATTTTTTTTTTCAAGCTATTGCCCTGAGTAGAGTGCCATGGCGTCATAGCTCACTGTGGAGGTCAAGGTGGGAGGATCACTTGAGGACAGGAGTTCAAGCCCAGTCTGGCAACAGAATAAGACCCCATTGCTAAACAAAATAAAAATAATTATATATATATATATATATATTATTTATTTATTTATTTTTTCAAGCTGTTGCCCTGAGTAGAGTGCCATGGCATCATAGCTCACAGCAACCTAACTCAGGCACAAGCAATCCTCTTCCCTCAGTTTTTCTATTTTTAGTAGAGATGGGATCTTGCTTTTGCTCATGCTGGTCTAGAACTCATGAGCTCAAGCAG